ATGTTAAAGGTGGGATAGTCCCTTTAATGATGCTGTTGGAAGGGGGTAGGTGGCGGGGCGGTCTGCGATTATCATCATCATGTGTTGTTCGTTATACAGCAGACTTTTTGTGGAATACTCAATTATACACTGGTTATTTTTGGCCCTGTTTCTTCTTATTATTTTTTATAATTCTTTATGAAAGTGGCATACACATTAACTGCACAGTATATACCGTATAGCATTTCGCTGACAATATTGATCTTCTCTGTCACTATCAGGAGCCAACAATCCTTTTTCCCATGGTGCATACCAGCCGTTGCGCTTTTTTTCTAGATGGAAACATATTTTTTTTCTCAACTCAATGGATTTCCAGTATTGTTTCAGTTCTAGTCACTTATCTGGCGATTTCAGTTCTAGTCGTGTACCTGGCGGTTTCCGTTTGTTTTGTTCCGTTTTGCTGCTGGCTGGCTGACACTGGTGTGATGTGGCGGTACAGGGGTGTCCGGCCGGCCGCTCGGGCCGTGTACCGGTGTCCCGGCGCCCCTCTGAATGTGTGCGGGGTCCGTGTGCGTGTGTGTCGGTAGGACTGCTGCCACCGTATGTTCGGCCGCGGGAGGCAGTGCTCGGCTGGCAGCCGCGGCCGCGGCGACGGGCGCCGATCCAGGGTAACTCTCCACCCGTCCCTGTACTCTGTCTGTCTGTCTGCCTGTGAGTCCGTGGTCTGCGCGTGCCATGCCAGAGTCGAGAGCACCCGTCACGACTCCGGACTCGCTCCGTTCCGCCTCCGCTGCCCCGCTACGCTCAGACAACGGAGCGGGAGCTGGTAGCCGCTTTCGCTCGCACCCGGGACATCCTGTATCGCTGTAGACAGCGCCGTCAGTTTTGGTTTGTTCGGTTTTCATTCGTCTCTCACGTCCACCCTGCTGAAGTTTGTCGCATCTGCACGGATCTGCCCGGCTCGCTTCAGCTGCTGGAGGCCCGCTGCGGCGCCGGCGACTCCAGCTGCAGGGCACACCTCTCCGCATGGGCTCACGTCTCGTGCATTGTGCTCATTTTTAGCTCGGTATCAGACAGCTTAGCGGGAATGCTCGAGCGAGCGCAGTGCATTTTCTTGATTGATTATTTTACCCGCCCTGATTTACATTTTATTATTATTTACGTGACTGACTTTTTCAGCGTTATATGATTTTGTTTACAATTGTGCACTGTACCTTTGTACAATGCCTGCAGTTTGAAGAAACGCTCACTATTTGGTTTTGAATGTGTGTGCGTTATGCACTGTACAGCGTAGCTGATTTTGCTGAAAGAAACTTGGCCCATTTTTAATCTCACTTTTCAACTATTCCATGTACTGGGTTCTTTGGTAGCCTTGTCACTGGTACGTTCGTGGTCAATGCATATATATGCTTTCAATAATTGAGAAGGGTCTTCATTCTTCTGCTTATTTAAAGATACTTTGCATCTCAACTTCAAGTATTTCGCCCGCTTTAGAGACTATATTTGGTTGCCCGTTTGGACGGGTGGTCTACCACATTCCACCTTTCTTATTGTCCGGGCTGCTTCTCGTCTTGGCAACGACATTAAAAAACGCGATGTCGCTAACAAATATTCCTGTAGGAACCTATTTACCCAGTGTGACGATACCGCTAGGCGCTAAGTCGCTCAGTGCCGCCGGGGCCGGCGGTGCCTCTCCTTCCCGCCGCCCCCTGACTCGTGTCTGACGTCTCCCGCAGTCGGCCGGCGGCGAGGAGGACCTGATGGCCGTGGCCAACAGCGACATCGCCCAGCTGTGTGCCGAGCTGATCCTACTCTGGCAGCAGTTCATGGAGCTGGCCTGTCGGCGCGAGCAGGTGCGCCGGTCACTGGCGCGCCAGCACCACACGCTCAGGGTAGGTGGCGCGCGAGATACTGACGGGAATTGAGTGTCCCCGCCGCCAGTTGAGTGTCCTGCCGGACAGCTGAGTGCCCTGCCCGACAGTTGATTGTCCTCTCCGCCTCCGACAGGTTAAGCGATTCGCTGAGGCGTTTTTCACCATGGACAACCCACGGTCGGCAGCCACCGGGTGTTTCGACAACGCCCCGCAGCGGTACATGGCAGTGACGGAGGCTGTGCGACGGTCCCCCTACTTACAGGTCAGTCAGTGACTCAGTAGGTATGTAGCGCATGCCTGCAGGCTGCATATCAGTCGGTATTCAGTACTTGCAGTCTGCAGATCGGTCGGGTACTCCAAAAGTGAGATGTCCCCTTGTAGTCGATTCCCTCAGTTGTGTCCCAAAATTATATTTTTGCTTGGGTGTCAGAGGGGAAAACTGCTGACCAAAAAAAAAAAAAAGGATGAGAGTGAAAAATTGTCGGTCAGGTAAGGCCAAAAAAGAGTGGGAAAATGGTCAAAAACATTAATCTATCTACCGTTGTGACAGATGCAAAACAACCATTCACGCAATTGCTCCTCGGTGGAATTGGGAGTGGAAAATTGGGCTTGAAAACTGGAGGTGAGAGTGGAAATGATTTTCATTTGGATGTCGTTTCCCACCCACATCTACAAATTTTGGGACACTGGATTTTCTCCATCCATTTTGTCTTCCTTGTAGTATGCTATCCCTTGTAACCCTGTCTCATTGGATCTCCTTGTCTCCCTCTGTCTGACAGTGTTCTCCGTGGGTCCACAGAGCCTGCCACCCCTGCCTGTCGAGTGTGCCGAGCTGGACGGGGACCCGGCCAGTACTCCGGTCATCTACGAGGACCAGTATCAGCACGTGTCCGAGTTTGTGCGCCGTCGCAGGCAGGTCGGCCGCACCACACAAGGTGGGCAGTGGGGGACGTTCCACGCTCCCGCGTCGCCACAGCTCCGGCTGCGGGATGGGGTGTTTTTGGGCAGGGATGAACCATGAGGGATGCTCCTTAGTGGGATCGTGGGAGAAAGGCATCCCTAGAGGTGGAAGTTTTATGTGGTTAGGGACTGGAGCCTCGTTTTGGGTTCTTGGCCGTGTTTTTCAATTAGCGTATTATATTTAGTCAGTGCTGTAGAACTAATAGAAATAATATGGAAAAGAAGGAGAGAAGAATTTTGCCGTGATAGTTGCATATCGTTGCTAGTTTCCTTTGTAATATTTTCTTAATACACTGCTCCTTGGGCCTAATTTTGACAGATAAACCACGATGTCGTGGAATAATCAGGATGAATTAGCGGCTGCCCTCTTCTGCTGGTGTTGCATTGTTTTATGTCCTTGTGCCGCCAGTTGCGAACGACCCGCGCGCCATCACCGCTGCCCTGGTGGAGGAGCTGCGCACGGCCTCCACGCTGCCGGCCGCCGAGCCGCGCTCCTCGCAGCGCGGCCAGTCGATCGAGGTGCTGCAGAGGGTGCCGCCGACCGGCGCCGCCAGCCCGGCCGTGGCCGACGCCGCCCGCTTCGTCAGTCTGAACGGACTGACGCTCGACGAGCCGGCGACGCCGCCGCCGCCGCTGCCCAGAGTGGACGAGGCGCGCAAAGGCGACCGTCCGGCCGGCGACGGCAGGGTGGCGCGCAGACAGGCGGCGGAGGCGGCCACCTCGACCAGCTCGCCGCCGCGGCCGCCCGCGGAGCCCACCAGGCGGCCACCGGTGACGGGCGGCTGCTCGGCGCCGCCGCCGCCGCCTCCCCCGCCGCGCCGCGCGCCGCCTCCCGCCGGGGACGAGGCCGCCACCGTGGGTGTGGCCTCGCCCGAGCCCAAACACTTCCTCAAGGAGAAACTGAAGAACAGCATACGGCTGGAGCTGCGCCTGCCGGTGGGCCAGCGGCAGCCGCGGCCGGCCGGCGGCGCCGTCTCACCCGAGTCGTCAGTGACTGTCTGCAGTGAGTCGGATACCTCGCTGGTGGTCCGACCGCGCGCCGGCAGCACCGGCTCGGCGCGGGCCTCGCCCCGGCCAGCCGCCGACGACGCCTCACTGCGGCACTCACACAGCAGTCTGAGCATACCGGAGGCGACGCGCGCGGCGGCCGGCCGGCGCCGGGCGCGCGGCTCGCTGCCGGATCTGGCGGCGCCGGCGCTCACCAGTCTAGAGGTGGGCCTGTTCGGCGCGGCCGGCTCGGCGCTGCTCCAGGTACAGCGCGGACGGATCGTGGCCAAACGCTGGACGCCGGAGGCCGGCGGCGGGCCGGACCCGGCCGAGCTGACCGAGCCGACCGACACGGACGCGGCGGTCAGCTCCCAGTTGTCGGAGCCCAGCTCCAGCGGCAGCTCGGCTGACGGCGACACGGTGCCGGCCGGGGAGAGCGTCCCGCGGCCGGCCGCCGACGCCGCGGACCCGGCGCTGACGCTGAGCGGCTCGGAGTCGGAGGCCACCGACACACTAGCGGCGCCGTGCTCCGAGTCGTCCTCCCGCGCCCCGCCGCCGCGGCCGCCGCTCACCAACGGCGCCGGCCGGCCGCCGCGCGGCACTGGACTCAAGGCGCGCCTGGCGCGGCTGGGACGGCCGCCCGCCTCCGTCCTCCCGCCCAGACAGTTCCGGGACCCGCCGCCAGCCGGCAGCACCGGCGCCGAGTCGCTCTCCAAGAGCGCCAGCCTGCAGTTCCGACCCAAATCGAACCGGGGCGGCTCTCAGTCTGCCCGATCCAGCGGGGAGTTCGAGGGAGACTCGGTCTACGGGAGCCTCTCTGATATCGACACCGCCAGCTGCGCTGGCAAGCAGAAGCGGCTCAGTCTGCGCATGCTCAGCGGAGCGCAGTCCATCGGCAGTCTGATGGCCCGGAAAGAGTCGAGGAAGAAGCGGCGCAGCGTCCAGGAGGCAGAGGACAGGTCAGCCGCTGCGCTTTGGTGCCGGATGCCTTTTGCGCTTTTGTTCCTTATTTGATGTCTGGTTTGCACGCAAAGTCAATCTTCTATGTCCTTCTGGCTGTTTTTTCATTTCAATCTGCAATTTAGCTAATATGTTCTAATTGACATTCAATTTAAGCTAGTCAATGGTTTTTAGATGTAAAGCGATATTTAAAATAAATTCTTATCTGCTAAATAGGCCTCAGACCAGCCCCTAGCCGCCTATCGTCCGTGGTGGTACGTGGTTGAGTTGATGCTAACGTGTGGCGTCCCCTGTCGTTCCCCACGCCTGGCGCAGGTACCGGGTGAGCTCTGAGCAGCCGCCGCCGGCCTGTACCGTGCTGGAGATGTTCAGCGACGGCTTCGGCACGCGGCTGGAGGACGAGGACGAGCCGGAGACGACGAGCAGCGTGACGACTAGCCTAGACCTCCGGCGGTTAGTCAGGGGAAGGGTACGGGGATGGGGCCAGTCTCAGATCACGAGCAGTGTGACGACCAGCCTAGACCCTCCGTAATTAGTGAGGGACAGGGGGAGTACGGGACGGACGGTTAGTGAGGGACAGGGACGGAGACCTCGACCACCGGCGACTAGTTGGTGAGAGATGGGGATCGACCGCCGCCAGTGACCATAGCGCCGCTCCCTTCCAGCGGCCTGCCGCCAGTCGGCGCGGGCCGATCCTCCGTGGCCGGGCCGGCGCGACCTCCGCCCGGTCAGCCGGCCGGCCGCGGCGACCCGCGCGCCTCCCGAGAGGGCCGCAACGGCCGAGAGGTGTCCTGTGACTGCTACTCTGCCCTCGACGGCGGCGACGCGGCACTCCGCCAGCGCCTGGTGGCCGCCGTCGGCGAGCGCACCTTCCACTTCATCACGGCCAAGGAGCAGTTCAAGGACCAGCTCAAGGGCAGGTTTCCCGGCGTGTTATACAGGTGAGTGGTCGTCCGGCGGGACGGCCGGTTAGTACCGAGATCGGGCCGACAGGATCGATCTGTTAAAGACAGCTGCAATAGGCTGAATCCGCAATATCACTGATGTCAGATGATGGGCATCATGTTCGACATCATGCGGCTTCTGGCGGACGCTGATAATAATTTGTTGTCGTTTGCATTCAGGCTTTCTTTGAAATTACTGGCACTTATAATTTTCAGGCATATTTAGTGTGTGCTAGTGTGCTTTTGTGACGAGGAACTTGGCAGTTTATAACTTTGGTAAAATAAAACTCACGGTGAAGTACCGTGCGCTCGCGCTCCGTTCTGTACACATTACACAGGCACTTCTCTTCCAGCTCAACGCTTGTGTTTTAGAGTAAGCTCTTTCTATCCGGCACTTGGAGGAGTGTTTTGAACTTTTCAATCGGAAACTCTTGCATGTTTTAACGGGCGTAGCAAGTCACTAATAGCAATCTTTTTAAAAACTCGTTCAGCGTCCATATGTGTTTGCAAACAGACAACTGTCCTTGTGATTTGTAAATAAATCCACTACGTAAAGAGACTGTACAGATAATATACCAATAGAAATTATGCAAATAAAATGATGTTTGTATAGAATAAAATGAAATGAAATGAAACTGTAAATAAAATGAAGTGTGCAGAGTAGTCTTGTGTGTACACTCTTTGTGTCTCCTTTGTGTCCAAAACCTCAAGAGAGTTAGCATGTCCCAGAGGGCAGACGCAATAATTACGAACACTTCTGTAGGCGATAGTGGTACTAAGTGCTTAGCGCCTCGCTCGGTGCTATGATCACCGGAGGACTGGCCCTTATCCCACTGTGCCTGTGTGCGATGCCCGTACGATTCTGTCACCAGCGGGAGCCTGAACCTCCTTGACTGGATATAATGAGGCAAATGCACGAACGAACGAACGAACGAACGACAGAACGGGTTTGAACGAACGAACTCAGATTTATTAACTAACCGTCGCACCGTGCCGCTCCGACAGTGACTACATGGGCGTGGTGACGTCTCTACCGTACTTCCTCATCCCGGACGAGTACCGGCTGTTCAGCTCGTCGGGTCTGCACCTGGTCGTGTGTGTACACGGCTTGGACGGGAACGCGGCCGACCTGCGACTGGTGCGCACCTATCTGGAGATCGGACTGCCCGGCGCCAACCTCGAGTTCATCATGTCCGAGCGAAACCAGGTGAGATGGCGGAGCGGGCCGGGACGCTGGGAGAATTGTTGTGAGTACGGCTGCTGCGAAGGACGATATCGGAGTGGGTGCCGCTCACGCCGCACGGGTCAATTAATGTGTAATTGTAGGGGTATTCCCCGGGCAGCTTTGAGTATGACGATGCCTATACGTAGGCTAAATAATAGACTGACTACATAGTGTTGCTGCTTGATACCGAGTAGTTCGCTGCTTTCTTAGCATTAAGTATGTTCAAGAAAATGTCTCGACAAGCATTGGTAGCACGAGAAACTAGTCATAGGAAGTTGTCCAAATGTAGGTTCACATTTCTTGGATATAGCCCATTTACGCATTGCTGTAGATTTGATGCTGTCCGATTCTGCTCTTCTGTTCAAAGTTATGGTGTCTATCCATTTTGCACCCATTTCTGAGATGTCCGGCACCGCTCCGATGTACGTTTCTGAGCCGGTGTAATCTGGTTAGTTCTGGATGAGTCGGGCGGGCCGGGCGTATTCCCAGGAGGCGCCCAGAAGCCGGGCGTGACGTCACTGTCAGCATTCAACCGCTCGTTAACTCTCGGTGAACAACGCTCGCCGGTATTATGCCCGACCAGCCTATTTGTGAGACCGGGAGCCGAAGTGGCTTTGAGTATGGACCATTGCGGATGTGACGTGGGCGCGGGTATTATCTGCGTGGGCCTCGGCTTCTGCTGAGAGTATAAATAATCCGTTCATCAGACGGCGGGCTGCTCCTTTGATGATCCCCGTCGTCTTTGAGCCGGAAACTCCTCAGCCCCGGTAATGGTGTAGTAACGCGCCTTCCAGCCATTTGTAATCGCTGTATTGTGTGACGGTAGCTGCACTCAATCTGGCTAGCGACAAGGCTGTGGTTCACGTCGTGTTTTTCATTTTATTTATTTATTTATTTATTTATTTATTTATTTATTTATTTATTTATTTTTGTTTGGTTATGATTCGCTTATGACGACAGCCACTCCTCGCATTGCATGCAAATGAAAGAATGTAGTGTCATTCGGCGTGGATGGGTATATTACATATTACATCATTTAATGACCGGTCGTCATCCCCTGCCCTCCTCATTGCCCTCACCGTGTGGTTCTACCGGTGTCTTACCGTCGTGTTATCCCGCGACCCGCGTGCTCCTCTGACTGCCCGCCGCTCCGTGTCCCCTCAGGGAGACACGTTCTCCGACTTTGACACGCTGACGGACCGACTGGCCGAGGAGATCTCCTACCACATCGAGGCCTTCCACCTGGCGCCGCAGCGCATCAGCTTCGTGGGCCACTCGCTGGGCAACATCATCATCCGGAACGTGCTGACGCGTCCGCAGCTGGCGCCGCACCTGGACAAGCTGCACACCTTCCTCAGCCTGTCGGCGCCGCACCTGGGCACACTGTACAACAACAGCGGACTGGTCAACATGGGTGAGTGAGGGGGCTGAGAAGCGGAGTACTTTTGGAGAGGGGGCGAGTATGCCGGGCGCTGAGATACTAGGCGGCGGCTTATCCGTAGCCCGTTGGCACATCCATCACAGGGGAGCGAAACCGCCCTCGGCACCGAGGGCAAACGTGCACGGAAACCCGCACGCAGCTTGCAGCTGGTATCAATATTACCCTTTGATCCACTCGGAACAGTAAACCTCTGTCTGCCTAGTCCAGGGCCAGGGGCGCCGCGTCTGTTCACTCTACAGGGTTGGGCAGATAAATTGGGACAAATTTCAACTTCCTCTAAAACGACTATTTTTTTAGTGATAAAGATAATTTTTGAACATAAATATAGGCTAATGAATACGTTTCCATGTTATGCAGGTTGTGTTGTAATTTTGAGTCGGCTGGTCACAGAACGTGGGCTTAAGCAAGCCACTATCAACTTAGTCCGCGCGCACATGCGTGCCAATACTCTAATTATGCTCCATCAAATGGCTGAAAGTAGTGTGTATCGAACAGACGTAAACGTTAGAGGAAAAGATGATATTGACTCATCCTTAAATACCTATTGCATTGACACCGGCCGCTCCCCCGGTTTTCCAGGGGGGCTAAAAGGCAAAATTCAGTTAAATCAGAGGTTCCTCGCGAAAACAGTGGCGCGAGCTCACAACGAAGGTAGCCGCGCCATGAGAAAGCGATATACCAGCACCTCAAACATGCACTCTTATGCATTGATGCATATCAACCTGTCAACATAGATGTTGAAGCACCTGTGACGTTAAAAAGATGGTTTCCTCTTGAAGGGCTTGGAGAAGCGAGCAAGCACGTGCAGGTCTTTTTCAACGATGGTATCCCCATAACCGAACATATGAACAACCGCAAACACCATGTAACATCGCAACCAGCCCAGAAGACGTGATCTTAGTTCCAAAAAGCATGCAGCAGACATCGGTGATGGCATTCCACCCGGTGACTTCTGACGGTCACGTGGGGCCCCATTATTTTACGGAATCGGGAGTGGGTTCCCCATTACAGGGTACCTAACCATTATTCCGGCAGTTCGAATCAACAAGATGAAAGAAGGCAACACCCTGCATGGAGTGATGCTCTTCGAGGAGTCAGCTCCCCGGCATACAGTAAATTAAATACAAAATCTCCTGAAACGGAGGATCCCGCAAACTGTACCCAAGGGAAAATGCCCCCTTCCTCAGTAAACCTCAGCCCACACAAGTTCTGGTAGCTGGGGCGTTTTTGCGGGTGAGTCTAACGAACGTCCCCATGTGACTGTGGTGAACCTCAGCAGTGCCAGTTGGCTACAATTACGAGCCATTTCAGACGGGAGATCTCGCCGCGCGTGCGGCCAGTCCAGGCACCGATAAAGACTGATGCAGGTGGACCACGGTGACCATGTTTGGTGAAAATGTGTAAAATTGGTGTGACAATATGTGATCCAAATTTGAAATGCCTATGTTTACAAATTTCTAAGCTACGGCGTTCTAAATGCAAATATGTATTTTGTCCCAATTTATCTGCCCAACCCTGTACTTATTGATTCTGGCGATGATTTGTCGCGGAGCGGCTGATGATGTTGTCGTTTAGCGACGGATGATGGGCGATGGCCCACTGTGCGGCCGCGGCCGGGCCCATAAATACCCCGTGACCCGACACCGCGCATACAGCGGTGACCGTCCCGTCTGTGGGCCCATGTTTTGCCGCCGAGCGGCAGCAAACAGTTGTAATGGGTCAACACGGACGCGGACGGATTGGTGAGCTATGGCTGTCAGCGGCTACGCGGCGCCGGTCGATATATGAGCGGTCTGTATGGGAGCTACTGCGTGGAATAGGCTGAGCTGCGGTGCGGCTTACGTAACTGACGACAGAGACCAGCTTAATAAAAAGCTGTTGAGAAGAAAAGAAATTAAAGGTTAAGGTGAAGAAAAGCGAAATTGTGTAGATATGGGAGAGATAGATGGCAAAGAGCAATATATATAGAAAGAAAAGGAACTAAATAAAGAGATGATGGCCACCGATTTTCTGTGTGTGATTGTCCCACTCATTTATCATGTAATTTACTCCCGGTTGAAGAAAGTGAATCGATCGGCTTTGCTGGCACATGGAATGAATGAATTTAGATTCTGTCGTCTGCCAGGCATTGTTCGAAGAATATGGATTACCGAAGTGGTCGATGAAGACGGCAGGCGTAGTTCGGATCTGCGTTACCATCCTCGCTATGCGTGAATTGTGGCTACAAGTGTGCTTTTTCAGTAGCCTCGTCTTAGGGCTGGTAGCAATGGGACTTATTGTATATACCAAGCAACTGGGACATGTGACGGCTATGAACGCTGTGACGGCTGCAGCATCATTGACGGCTGTGAGTGTGACTAAAGCTGCGATTATGGGATCGCCAAGTCCGATATTGTAAGATCAGTTTCCTGCTGGAGAATGCTCTGTGTTGCGCAGTCTCAATGCTCCAATTATGTGACGCAGTTTGCAGCCTGAGCATTTTTATCGAATTCGTGCATTTTATATCAGCGACGAGTTGCATTTTCACTGCATTATCCGCTAAACGAACTCGACGTGGCGCTGCCTCGGGTAATCATATCCTCGGAACTCATAAGCATTTCCGGTAATCCGATGATATTGGCGAATTATTCAAAGTTAGACTGTTCTTTTGAAGCGCCCTGTAACGGAGCTGGCATTTTCATTTTTCCTGCGAAGCATTCCTTTGAAGAAATTCGCTGTTTGTTGCTTTGATCTGTCGTTATTCCGAGGGCAGCACGGTGGCCTATTGTGAGCCATTTATCGTGGATCCGGCGCTGAGTCAGGCCAATTGGCTGACTGGGAGGTGGGCTGAGTCCGCACGGACCTGTGGACGACCCCGGCCGACCGGCCGACCGTCGGAGCGGCCGCACAGATGTGACGCCGTCGATGGCCAATTTCCGACTCATTTGGGAGCCGGCGGCGCCGGAACGCTATCGATCGCCTGTCTGTGCTCATCATTAAAGCTGTCCCGGCCTCGAGCGATTCGGTTGAGAGGCATTAGAAGTTCGGTGGCTGAATAGATGAACGGCAGAGAGAAGAGCAGAGGTTTGGTTTCGTTTAGTTGGATCAATCTGAGACGGGTTTAGGTCATTGGGAACAGTCGCAGGTCGCTGATTCTAGCTTGCAGTAATGGCGTTACCAGACTGGGCTCAGCTGGGTTCGTTCGACAGTTGAGCTGTCCGTAATAACTAATAGGTACAAAAAAAAAAATCATACGCCGCTGAGATCATTCTCTGTCGCCCTCCCATTCTTCAAAGATGCGGAGTAAACGCTTTGGCTGTACTTTTGTGCTCCGCTACGAGATGCCGAAGAGATCTGTCATCAGTTTGACATTTTCGCAATATTTCCTATTCGCTCCGGAACTGCGCCATTTGTTTAATTTGTTTCGCATCTGTGCAATCCTGCGATTCCCTCCGTTCAAAAAACGCATCCAAAGTAGTTATTAAGGAGCAATGTCTGCATTGTTTAGCAGGGATAATTGAAGCTAGTGCATCAAATCATAAATAATGATGTGGCCGAGACCTATAGCGGCCTCGGCGTGGCTTCGATCGCGGTCGGCGGGCGCGGGCGGCCACCAGGGCGGCGGAAGGTCACCGGCGCCCGGCCGCGGCCGAGTCGCTGCAGCCGGCCGCTGCTAGGCACTGGCGGCCGGCCGGCGGTAACCGCGCCGGCCGATCGACTCCGCACGCAGTGATTGATGAGCGCATGGTTGCACGGTGACCGTGTGGACGTTTCAGTAGGCGCTCCAGCTCGGCCAATGAGTTCACCGCTTCAGTGGCTCGGGTATTGATATTTTTGGGCGCCTGTGCTGAAGTGTTCGCGTGACAGGCATTGCTATTCTAATGCGGGCATATTCCAATCGGCCGCGGTGGGATGGAATATTTTAGACTTTAGAGCGATTTCTCTAGTTAATTGTGCTGCCTTTTACGATGCATTTCGGGCATAGTTTTCTCGCATTTTAACGGCCTCAACAACTGGTTTTGATAGACGTATCTGCCATATTGTGGTAGGTTGTATCTATTGTTGATCCCTATGAGGGATTGCAGTGATCCTCTTGGGTATTACAATTTTGCGTGGATGCATTCGGCCGCTATGTTTTGCCGGTCTGTTTAAGCTGTTTGACAAATGAGGATGCATTCGGTCTCTATGTTTTGACGGGCTGTTTAAGCTGTTTGACAAATGTAAAGGCCTGGTTGTCTGGGTATTTTGCCGACGGGCCAGTTAATCGGTCAGTCATTGTCTTCGGTTGGCCCCGTTCTCAATTTTCACGATACGTTTACGGGCTCTTTTCGTGTTGTATCGGAAGTGTGAACTGAAGCGCGGCCTACTATCGCGGCATGTGTGGAAAACGACCAAATGTAGGGTAACCGCAGGTCGTTTGAAAATTAACATAGTTATTATTGCCGCTGTGCCTACCTGTCCATATACAGCCGTCTGTAAGTGACACTGAGTGCTGGGTCGGCTGCTGCCGCTGCCACAGCCGCTACTCTGTCCGGCTGGGTCAGTGAGAGCCGACTGCAGGCAGTGGTGGCGGTCGGCTGACCAACAGCCCGTTATAACTCTGCTGAAGGGGCGCCGTGGGCCTCTCACTGCCGCGTTGTGTCTCTCGGCTGCTCGGCCTGCAGCGTAGCTGATGGCCCCTGTAATGGAGAGCTCGCGCTATACAATGGCATGTCCTCGTCGGATACCAGGTGATTTACCGGCATTTAACGGCTGCAATAGCCAAATGGACACGCTATTTCCGAGATTCATTCATTGTCGCGGCGGGCTGAAGCGTTTGTGACAAGACTGTCCGCAGTGAAATGAATAACACATCTAGCTAGCCCGTGGACGGCTACATCGTTCATTATGTTGATGCACGGCTTGCATGTGGAGGAGGCCGGGGTTTATTATGCAATGCCGCTGGTATTTGACATTATTAATGAGGGGCCAGCAACATTCCGGAAATACCTTTGTCTGATTGACGTCAGTCAGGTTATAACCATTGATCGCCCTTATTGTCACTGATTAGAAGGCGTTTTGTCGATCGCTTTATTGGAGCATTTTCTTTTCCAATCGATGTCCATATGTAGCTATGTGTACGGCTCCGTCCTGTCAAAAATGTGCCTATGCGCTCTCGTCCCGTCACTAACTCTGCGCGCGGCTCTGTCCCGGCAGGCATGTGGTTCATGCAGAAGCTGAAGAAGTCTGGCTCGCTGCTGCAGCTGTCGATGAAGGACGCTGTGGACGTGCGGCAGACGTTCCTGTACCGGCTGGCGATGCGCTCCCAGCTGCACCGGTTCCGGCACGTTCTGCTCACGGGCAGCTCTCAGGACAAGTATGTGCCGATCCACAGCTCGCGTATCGACCTCTGCAAGGCAGCCATCCGCGACCACACCGCCACTGGTAAGACACGCGGATGAGCGGGTGGCTGGGAGCACGCGGGGTACATGTTGGATGTACGGATATTGGAAGGTGGCTGTGGGGATGTGGTGACCTAATATGCGGGCGGTGCGCTCGATGTCCCTAGCGTCAGGACTGAGGGAAGGGCTACGTATGGGTCCCAGTAAAGGTCAGTGTCTAGTTGTATGTACACAAAGAATGCTCCTCATCAATGGGCAAAATAGCAGTGCTAGTCTATTTTCATCGCGTTGGCAACAGATGAACACAGTTACATTTTATTAATTTCGTGAACTGGCTTGTTTTAAACAGTTTTGAATGAAATCGTATTTTAATTGGAAAATTTTCAGCTGCAAAAATAATAGGTGGATATGATTCCAGTGAATCAAATCCTGACCTAGATAAACAAATGGTTCACCAAGTGCTGCAAAGCCCCTATATAATTATCCACTGCCTGAGTACTGCTAGGAGGGGCACCCTTCAATAGAGCGGGGGTCGACTGAGTGCCGACCGGCCGGCCGGGTCGGACGGGGGCCCGTTCTGTGCCAAGGTCGGGGCGGAAGTGGTGTGCCGTGTCCGCCCGGTCGGCTATCGACTGCAGCGCGGCCCACCCTGTTCCGGGGAGCGGCCGCCGCCGCCGGCGGGAGCCCATTATTGCCTGGGTTAATGAGGCCGTACAATACGGCGGCTTCGGTCAGTCGGCCGGCGGACCGATGCCTTTGTCGGCCGTGCGAGCCACCAGCCGGTGTGCTCAGGACGCAACACCTCACAGCGGCTGGCTCGGCTCACTCAACCGTCTGAAAACCCGGCGGATGTGCAATTCAATTTCCAACTTGCGTGAGCCGCCATTGGCTCGCTAACTTTGTGACTATGATGCCGTCCTGTGGCTGGGTTCCTTTGATGTACGTATTCCCATCAGTCCCCCATCGCACAGCAGCTATTCGAGGAGGTGTTCGTGCCAGCAGAAATGCGGGCAGCCTGTTTGAGGACAATGGAATATTGATTGTGGAAAATGTCGCGTCGTTTCGGTTCGCTTATCAATGCGTTAGCGATACGGCTGTTCTGGGAAGGCGCTGTCCGTTTGACTGTCGTGTGATTAAGTATGTGATTGGTGGCCGGCTGGCTCCGATGGAGGCAGATCGGCGGCGGCATTTACGCTGGGAAACGGGCAGGTGATCACGGTCATTGCCGCTCAATGTTTGATGGGCCTCGGGTACCGTCGTGGCCGCGTCCCTGAACAGCCGTACAGCGTCTGAACGGCGAGCTACGGCAGCCGGGCAGGAGGCCAGCCCAGCCGTCTGACTTGAGTATGAGAAGTATCTTAATAGTTAGACCTCACGCGGTCGGAATAACTACAAATCTAGCACCGTGCCAGGCCCGACCTGCCTATGTACTTGTAAACATTTTATTCCGCTCAAGAAAATACCAGCGACTGTTTCCCTATCCTTGGGCGACATTTGTGGCATTCCATTGGCCTGTTTGGACAGTGAAGTAGGCCTATGTGATCGATATAACTCTTTGTAGCTCTAGTACGCCTGCCTGGTTTTTCCAAACGATCAATATTTGTAGGAGAAATGCCATGTACGCAAATGATGAATATTTCCCGAAGATAGCTAGCGGAATTCTACAAATGTTTATATTTCATGGATATTTGGCATATATGCAACCTTCGAGCATGCAATTTGCCATCAACCCGAACATCCAGATGTTAAGCAAAGATACATAAAAGTGTCGTTAAGCCTCGCCCCTGCATCTGGTCTTTATATCAACACTATTGAGTGTAAGATTTATGAAGAGGTTCGGCCCCCTGGTATTCAGTACATGTGCCAAGATTCCCAGGGCAGGAATGCGTCCGTGTATGCTCACCCGAATTTATGAATACTTCCGCTTTGACGGAATAATCAGGAAGTTAAAGCGTTTGCATATTTGTTGGTGCAGGTACGTTTCGTGTTTCACGCACGGCCTATGATGTTGCACGCTTCTTACCAATAATCGGAATAGCCTTTTCTATGACGGCCCGCTGTGCCGACCGGTGACCGAACCCGCCCCTCTCTGTGACAGTCTGACTGTCAGGTGACCTGACTTGACCTGACCGGTGCTCGGTCCGCAGGCGCCGCCTACCGGGAGATGGTGACGAGCATCATCCAGCCGATCGTGGAGCGTCCCGACGTCTCGCTGCTGCGGTACGACGTGCACCACGCGCTGGCCAATAACGCCAACTCGCTGATCGGCCGCGCGGCGCACATCGCCGCCCTGGACTCTGAGCTGTTCATCGAGAAATTCATGGTCGTCGCCGGTCTGAAGTACTTCAAGTAGCGCTGCGTGGGGCGGGCGGGGAAAGGGTGTCTGTAGGCTGAACGTGGTGAGGTGATGAGAACTACTTGACTGGGCGATGTGGTGGATTTTGGACGCTGGGTTTGCATTCGTGGGAAGATGATTGGGCTTGCGGTGTGATTCTATACTTATGCTCGTCGTGTCTGATTTTCTCCCCCGTTTTGAGTTCCTCAAAGGCCAAGTAGTTAGTATGTACACAGCGGGGTAGCAATATCGATACAGAGTGTGACTGACGTGCACTGTTCCTAACGCACCTCCGACCTGCTCCATAACCCCCCCCCCCCCCGCCCTCCTGCCGATGCACCGTCCCCGGGTGCCTGATGGTGCCACTCTGCCGTCCGGGCTCAGCACGCGCTGGCTAGTTTTCGTCTCAGCGGGCACGTCAGACGGACTGCTTTAGCTGCTCCTCTGCTGGTATTTCGCACCTGCTGAGGACGACATTGTTTGTGATTAACAGCTTATGCAGACATTACTCGGGGAAATTGTACTAAGGCGACGAGTTTGTGATCTTGTCTACTTCAGCCGGTAGCGCTTATTTTATCCGCAGCGAGTTGATTTTTTCCCATTGCAATTGAAGAGTCTATCGACGTCTCTGACCAGTTTTCGCCATCGTCACTCCCGATGCGTAAAAGATGGTTAGCCTGTGCCCCCTTTCCCCTTCCTCCCTCCCTCCCTCCCTCTAACCTCCTTCTTCGGTCGGGCCTCAGAAATTGGAGCTGAATGTTCCGTTAGCGGCTCCCCGCCGTCTCAGATCAGCCAGAGAGCTCTTAGAGACTATCGACTGCTGGTATCACCGGGCTGCTTTTTCGACGTCGAGCCGATATTTTCAGCTAGCATGATCTCTCTCTCTCTCTCTCTCTCTCTCTCTCTCTCTCTCTCTCTCTCTCTCTCTCTCTCTCTCTCTCTCTCTCTCTCTCTCTCTCTCTCTCTCTCTCTCTCTCTCTCTCTCTCCCCTCCCTCCCTCCCTCCCTCCCTCCCTCCCTCCCTTTTCTTTCGTTATGTATTTCTGGATCTTTACCTTTCTCTTTGTCCCTCTATCCAATATTCTGCCCTGTCAGTCTTTCCCTCTTTCCCCATTGCCTTGTTCTCTCCCTTTCTTCCACCACCCCCCTCTCCCACTCCCGACTCCGCCCACCGCCAATCTCTCGCCGCTCCTCCTCGAATTCCATCCACCGCTCGCGGCCCCGCCCGTTCAGTGTTCCCCGTCTGTCGCGATGGCAGCCATGAACTATAAATGACCACGATCACCATATTGGAAAAGGAGACTCTAAAAGTGTCTCCACGGCACCTGTTCAGTCCAAAGTGCCGCCTTTGGTCCCGCTCAGAATAGAACGCTCTCCTCTGTCAGTGTCGCGTCGCATACTCAGTCCGTAATGCGCAGTGCCGCGGCCTTGGGTCACCGTTCGGTTAGGTCTCTCTGGCTGTTCAACCTTAAAAGGCTACCATGAACCATCGCTTCCTCCCGCCGGTTATCCAAAGCCGCGGATCTTATTGCCACCGCTGACACAGTGTTCTCAGTCTCACAGCTGCTGTCTTCCAGCAGCTGTCTTCAAATTGCTGTCTTCCCCACCTTACTACCCCTTTTTCATCCCACCGTCGCTGCTCCTGTCTTCGGCTTCACAGCCGCTGAGCCAGCCACAGCCCATCACAACTGCCCTTTTCGCCACAGTCGCTGCCTCTTACCACATCTCAGAGTCACTGCTACTGTTTCTACCCCCCCCCCCCCTCGTTTTCCCCTTGGTTACAGCTTCGTCTTTCAGTTATTCATTATTCTCATATGCCTTATTTTTATAGATATTTCAATGCACTCTACAGTTCAGTCGAGTCTTGAGTTGTATACAATCTTATTGCGCTGATATTTTCTAGCTCTTTCAAATTAACCGTCTTTCAGTGTAAACATATTTCCATGTTCATTCTTGAAAACAGTATCAGCGCTTGGTCGGAGTTTATCATGGCATCTGTTAAGCTAGTCTGGCATGTCATTTTATGCAAATCCAAATTGGCTAAGCCACCAGCCAGCTCGACGTCCCGCTTTTATCAGTATCTGTGATGGTAACCAGCGGGTCTGGTCTCCCTGTGCCGCTCTCTGGCGTTCTGTGGCGTGGCTGACGGGTCTGGTCTGATCTGGTCTGCCGGCGCTGCTCTCAGGCGTTCCGTGGCGTCCGGCCGGTGGCTGCGTGACATCGATTTCCGCCTCCGGCGCCGCGCGGTCATCCCCCATCGGCGGCCTCATTGCTCCCGCACGCCATTCCCGCTCCGAGGCAGGGCCAGCTCTGAGGAACGACATTCTCTCTCTGAGGCACGGCATTCTCTCTCTCTCTCTCTGAGGCACGGTCAGCTCCGAGGTAGTGTCCGCTCTGAGACAGGACACGGCCTGCTCTGAGGCAATATCCGTTCTAAGACAGGAGGCGGTTCGCTCTGAGACAGCGTACAGTCCTCCCTGAGGCAGACAGTCCGTGGAAGGCAGTCCCACTGAGAAATGCGGGACTGGCAGCTCAGATATCTCGAGTTGCCTCGTCACTAAGACAGCCATACTCGGAGGGGTCTCAGTATACAGTGGACGCACCAGGCTCGTCTCCGACAGCGGCGCTGTGTGTCTGTTTGTCTGCAGATGGGCTGAGGCAGGCCGCTGGGCCGGGTATAATGTAACCTACAGTGGCCGGGGAGCAGGATCATCCAGAACAGATTGCCGGCGGCAGCTGTTATTCGGGCGTCTCTCATCTCAATGGCAGCTTATATACTCAGTTACAGACTGTGAGGTTGTTTGTTTCAGTGTTATTCTTTCCGATGGTTTCAGACGGTGTACCTCGGCGTGGGTCCCGTCCCTTTCCTCCGCACCCTCCCTCTTTCTCCCCTCTCGCTCTCAGGTGCTTCTTCGTACAACCATTATGAAATACTGCAACTTTGGTGACCTCCAATCGCCACTCACCTTAGTTCTTTGACCGGTGTCTACCTCAACAAGGCGTGCAGGGGTCCATAAGGCCGCAAGTGGCACAGACAGCCTAGATACCTACCCTTCCCTACCCTACCCCACCCCACCCCAAGCCACCCTACCAGCACGCTCAGACCGACTTCCCTCTTCCCTCCTGCCACCGCCGCCCGTAGCACATATGCAATTGATTTGTATTGGCGCGATAGTCGTTTGGCCTGGGCCCCGGGTACGTTTGCGCCCATAGGTGCCCCGTCGGCGGCTATGCGGTGCCGGCCGTCATCCTTAGCCTCGCCGATCTACGAGGCGGCGCGCCGGAATGAGGGCAAGAGGCGCCACGCCGCGTGCCGCCGCCGGCCCTGGCGTGTGCCGTCGTAGTGGCCTGCGTGAGCGGTGCCGGCGTCACTTGTCTCCGGTGGCCGCCTGAGGCCATCTGGGAGGCACGCGCGCCGCGACATATTGACTCACAGACAGACGCGGAAAGATAGATAGACACACAGACATACACGGTAAGACGAGACATACAGACGCGGGAAGATACACAGACAGACACGGGCAGACATATACAGACACTGACAGACTTGCAGACATACAGGCAAACAGACAGGCAGACAGACAGACAGACATACACCAGACGACACACACACAAACTGACAGGCGACTCGGCGGTAGGACGTTCTGGCGGGCGGGCTGTGTACCGTACCGCGCGGGGCGCCAGTGTCCCTCCAGCGACCGGTCGTTCCGCAGTACGGCGCTGTACCGCGTCGTACCGCGCCGGCCGGCCGCCCAACTCACTCTGTCCAGCACCGCACCGCTTCGTCCCCCATCTGTGATCACGGCCGATTCACTCGCTCGGTCCCTCGGCCGGCCGCCAGCGGCCGCAAAGCAGCTCGAACCTCGAGGTCGGCCGGGTGCAAACATGTTGAGTGTGCCGCAAAGTGGTGGTTTTCTATTGAAAGCACCCGGCGTATGCTAAGGCTTAGGTAGTTGTGTATGTAGAGCTTTAAAGCGGGATCGTGCGCTCGTCTGTAGACGGATTTGGTGTGTGTGGTGAAACTGCGGGCGCCCAGTCTGGGCTGCCGACGCTGGAGCGCGTTTTGGGGATGTCTGCGACTGCTGGCATGTCTGTGTCTGATCTCAGAAAAAGAATGGTGAACGTTTTGGTTCACAGAATCAGGATGTGTCGTTCTGTTGATTTGTGACATGGTTGAATGAATGTTTAGACAATGTACTGACACTTTCAAATGTTTCTCAGCGGACATAATTAACAGTGTGCCATCTGTCATCTAGTTACCGGGCGAGCGCTGCTGATGTCGCGCGACCAGGCCAGTTCCGTGAGCTTTGTACGGGCATGTGTGGTGAGTGGTGAGCATTCTCCCCGTATGAATCCCCGTGGTGTCCGCTCGGCGCTGCGCTGAGCTGAGCGTTTGGAGAGGAGAGACGGCCGCTGCTGGGTGCCGGCGGTGTGTGCTGAGTACCTCGGAGTACCTCCGAGTACCGCGGGGTACCTCTGAGTACAGTAGGTCTATTAAAAAAGTCCCCAGCACCAGTGGGCGCTGCCTTCGCTGAGCCGAACCCCCGTCTGCCTGTCCCATATCGCGCCGGTATCAGGTCAGGTATAGGGTCAGCGGGTCCGCTCGGTCCGGCCCGCGGGCGGTGGACGGGCGGCCGGTACCGCTTTTCGCCAGCCAGCTGTAGAATCCAACAAACGGGACGGCCACCGCTCAGCGCAGCGAAACCGGTGTCAAACAATGGCAGTAGATGTTCATGGCCACAATGATTATGAGATAGTCATTGTTAGCCCGTGACCCACAGGAATGCCTAGACTAGACTCTTACGCCCTGTTGGAGGGGAATTGGGGACTGAGCATCATTCTTATAACTCAGCTTTGGGAATTTAATTGGTATTCGAAGTAGCGTCAAAAGAAGCAAAAAGAAGAAAAAATTCAGCCAATTTTGGATCGGGTCATAGCCAGAGGTCATGTCACTAGAGATCATCGATGATAAAATTTTGCTCAGACAGGGTGCGTTGCGCGCACCGGTGCATTAGGTTTCCAATTTCCATGGGAACATCAACAGACTCGGAAGCTCGCAACGCTAGCGTGGAGCCGAATTCATATCAACCGCCGCAACAATGCAGCAGCGCAGCGCAGCGTGCTGCAGTGCGGGGCCGTGAAACACCGCCCAGGGCTATCCATGTGTCAGGGCAATCCAACCCACGTGATGGGGCCCAGCGGAGCATGAGGTCCAGGACTCCCTCCCAGGCCCCCTGTCTCCCCCTAATTCCTATCATCCTTCCCACTCTGAAATCGACCGAAAGAGCCTAACCTAACACAACAATCAGCTCGTGACGTTTACCGCTATGTCTGAATAATATTGCCAGTTTTAATTAACCTTCGCGGGCCCGGGGGGGGGGGCGTTTTTCGCCCCCCCTGGCGAATATTTGCGATAACTCCCGAACGCTTAGGGATAGGAAGGCGAAACTTTCAGTACCTTTTCTCCCATCGATTTGACATCTTCTGAAGTAAAAAATTTGGACCTAGCCCCCTTGATGACGTCACAAGGTCTATTTTTCTAGACCCCTGCACGGCAAACTTCGGCGTCAGAGACGCAAACTTCAAATAGCTGCTAAAAATAGAGTTTTAGAGATAAAGACAAATTACGAGCACGGCTGTGTAGCGTTTGACCTAGAGAAAAATAGAAAAATAGTTTTGGTGACCTGAGGTCAGAGGTCAGGTCAACGACCCCGAAAAGTGGTTTTAGTTTTTCGCCAATAACTTCGACAAAAATGGTCCTAGAGCTACGGCAGTGGTACCATCGCATTCGCCTTGTCAAGCCGCGTCGAATGATATATATTTTGTTCGGAAAAGGTCAAGTTTCATGTTGACCTCATGTGACCTCGAATGACCTCTGGTTGACCTTGACACATGAAAGGTCGTTTATGATGGATTTGTACCCGCTGATCACGAATCTGGCATCTATTTTCCTCTAAGCCTTCATTTAGAGCTTCCGGATGGCAAAATTGTCTGATTTATTATTACTAACTTGAATCAGTGAAATAGCCTCTAGCAGGGATACTCTTCTGTGACCTTGACCTTTGAGCAGCCTTGTATCGTAAGATGAACCACAAATAGGGAACTGATAAGCCTCAAAACATTTCAAAACATCTTGGAAGTTAGCACGCAAGATGTGCGAAAAAGTGCCAAGTTTGAGGTCAATTTTGAGCGTGACCTTGACCTTGACCTTTGATTTAGAACACATTTTCAGTATCCTCAGATTCTCTTCTTTCGTTTGACACCCAATTTTGCCGGTTTGATGCAGCCTGCCGTCCTCTAGAAGGCTTACTTTGAGATCACTACACATGTGCCGGTTTTGGCCTTTGACCTTGACCTCTGACCTTGAAAATTGACCTGAGGTCAAAAATTTTAGGTGCATTAGAATCGTCTCGTAAGGACCTTTCGTTTGGTATCGCTTTTGTTTCCGTAGCTCCCTTATTTACGGAGTTAGACAGGGGGGGCGAAAAACGCCCCCCCCCCCCGGGCTGCGGTGGTTGGGATTACCCCCCGGGCCCGGCCGGGTTAAGGTCAACGGCCTAGCATGTAAATAACAACAACTGCCACCATCGGTATTATGAGAAAACCAATTGCTTTTCCACAAACACTTCAAAGTTTTTAGCTTAAGACTTGCATGAAATTAATTTTACCAGCCTCGTGTTCCTCTTATCAAAACGCTTCGAATGAATCAAAAGTTGATCTTTAAAGTTCATTTGAAAAATTTGGTCTATGTTCAAAGACATGACCTGACCAGAAATGGTCATAATGCATAGCAGGATATTAGATCCGTATCGTGAAACTTTACAAACACCTCAGATGATTTCATAACTTAACCCTCGCCCGCACATGCCATTTTCCCATCCTAGAACGCACATGGGGGGGGGTGGTTGCCACCCCCCCCCCGCGCCATTTCGTTCCTGTTGGAGATAGAGCTTAGCGGTAAAGACCAAAAAGATTCTTTGGGAAGAGACGAATCCAATGATACCCAGTTTTACCTTCTCAGGTCAGTCATTGACCTTCCAGGTCAGGTCAAACTAAAAAATGTTGCTGTTTTGGGTCACCGTTGGATATCAAGTGCGCTGCTTATCAAATACCGATGACGATGCTGTTTTCTGGTGCCAAGCCAGCTAGAACCTCTTTGTCACACTACCCGACCAGAATTTTGCTGCTGAGGTCATTTCAGGTCAAGTTAGGTCAAGGTCAATTATATGTGTTTGTATGTCTGTGTGTGTCTGTGTGTATACTGATGTGTGCACCGGTTGTTTTTGGGTCCATATTACATGAAATCATGATCTGAGAAGCTTTTATCAAAAATGCAATCAAAAAACTTCACAAAAAGTAAATTCGGCTTGCCTAAAACGCAATTACCTTAGATGACCTAGGTTGACATTGACCCTGACCTTGACCCCTGTACATCGTCGAACAACATGTTCCGTGATAGGTGGGAGGTAAGACTGGCAAAAAAGGCCGAAATCAGGGTGTCAAAAGCTCACAAGGCCCATGGCAAACGCAAGATGTTGAGAATTGGCCATTTGGGTCATGACATGACCTCAAAAACAAGGTCATATCTCTGAAACCAAAAATCACAGAAACTTGAAATTTTCAGTGGACATCAAGAAAGGATAGAGGAGCAGCTATACGAAAAATCAGCCATCTAGCTCTAAAAATGTTGAGTGCAGAGCAGAAAGACTGCCGGGGGGGGGGGGGGTGGCAACCACCCCCCCCCCCATGTGCGGGCGAGGGTTAAGCATGTCTATCAAAAATAATTATTACATGGCTCATACGTAAGCTGGGTGTGTGAACATGCTTATGAGTATGTTGAAGGCAACTGATAATGTTCTGTTGGCCACAATTTCTATATTTAATTTGTCCTCCCGGATTTCATATTTTTGTTAATGACACCTTGACGATGTCGAGAAAAAAAAACGCTTAGGAGATTTAACAGCCTGAGATACATTCAGTATAAGGAAGGTTCAAGGGTGCTAGATTCCTTCCGTCCTCGCTATCCTCAGGAAAAACCAATCCGCATCGCCCCTAGTCTTCATGCTTCCCTCTCTGGACTGGAGGTCACCTCACCAGCCAACCTGTAGTTGATGTCGGATCCATTCCAGGACACATAATCCTCTTCGGGTGACCGTTTGGGAGACGGATGGACCGTCCCGACAGGGCAATCGTCCCACGAGAACAGTCTCGCTTCCGCAGATCACTGTCGCTGGCTCGCACAACCCAATTACTACACCAGAGCATAGTTATGTCATAGCTCTGCAAGGGCCTTTCAGACCAAAAAAGATGGCCCCCAACAAAACAAACAATTTTCTCATTCGGTATTGTATCTCATCAAGCACCACATGTTTTCAGAGTGTTTATTATGCGTTCCGTCCAAAAAAGCGCAGTTCAATTTTCTCCCATTGACTTGAGTGATCTCAAAATTGACCCGGCCTTTCTGTCAACAATGTCAAAATTGCAAAGTAAACGTTACATATACTGTTGCCCATTTTAAAATCGCTGAAAGTTCTGAAGCGATCGGTTAGTCGGTGTATTTAGATATGATGAGCACAGGAACTTTCCTTGAGGTAAGGTCACTTGACGTGACGTGACCTGGTGTTATGACCCTGAATTGAAAGACTTGGGCGGGAAAAATGGGTCATTTGAAATCTTAAAATGCTAGATTTTAACAATAATTGCAAACACTATCCCGGCCAAATAGTGAGTGAGAAGGGAGCGATTCCCCGACCCCATGTTTAGCTCCTATAATTGAGCTAGCTGCTAGAGCCTCGCGGAAAAAAAATCAAGCGCTTGCGTCGTTACGTGACGCAGCGACTAGTACCCCATTTTAAAATATCAGTGACCTCTTTAGGGCAGTTCAAGGGCCCCAAGGTATTTGATCGGTTTTTGGTAAATAACTAAACGCATTATCGTCATTTCGATACAATCGTGTTTTCCGTTCTCAGACGCGTCGATTTATATGCTTTTTTGTTTAGGTGAAGCAATTTAGGATGTTTACCTCAGGTCAATGTCAGGTTAGGGCAACGCAGGTCACGCAGCTGTTGAAAGGAGGACATGTTGCATAACATTTGATTCGACAAGTCTTGCAAAGTCCATTGATGGCTGTCCCGACTGGCTAGCTCATTTTGATCGGGAGTTATTGACGAAGCACTACTATGACCCTAGTGACGT